AACACTTACAGTAAAAAAATGTTCATCAAGTGTGGTGTGCCTCAAGAAACAGTACTAGGCCCACTATTATTTAGTCTCTACTTAAATGACTTATTCAAAATTAACAGTTCTGGAAAGATTATATGTTTTGCAGATGACACCCTCGTATTATATAAAGCTGATGACTGGAGCACACTGAAGCAAATAGCTGAACAGAATTTTATAAGGATCATTGACTGGTTTGATACTAAAATTTTAACAGTTAACTTCAAAAAAACAAAATTTATTGCATTTACATCCTATCAAAATTTTTACCTACCTTCGAACAAATTTCCGTTAATTATCATGGCCAAAAGACCAAAATCGATAGAGTTAACACTTTGAAATATCTTGGAATATTTATAGACTCACATCTAAGGTGGTATAACCATATTAAATATGTTATCAAAAAAATTAGAAATGTTGCCTATAAACTCAAAATGCTTGCTAACATTCTTACAGAAAGTTATCTGCGAATCCTATACCATGCCTTAGCTGAAACCCATATAATATACGGCATCACAGCCTGGGGTGCCGCCTGCAAGACATATATTTCTGACCTGAATATAGCACAAAAAACTGTTTTGAAAGCCATTTTCCATAAGCCAAGATTATGTCCAACGAACAACTTATATCAAGAAACAGGGATACTTGATACAAGACAACTTTAACACACGATTTCGAATAGGCTCATCTAATATCCAAAGACCATGCCAAACATTATTCAAAAAATCATTCAAATTCTTAGCAGCTAAATTATATAATGTAGTACCAAACGAAATAAAGATGCTTAATTTTGGAAAAAAATTTAGAAGAAAATTGAAAGACTGGGTTAGTAATGTGCAGCGAATGACTATACATAATTATATAGAAAACTAAAACTACAAAATTCCAATTACATTAATACCTTTTAGATTTAACAATAATTGTTATACACATATATGATTGATTGTTAGTTATTAAGATATAAACCACACACAGGCGATGCCTTCTGTGGTTTTTTCATATTTATTTGCCCATTTTTTGTATTTTGGCGAATAAATATTATTATTATTATTATTATTATTTCTTATAAATTTAAGGAACTTGGTATTCTGCACATTAAAGGCATGCAAAAACTTCACTTATTGACACTCATACATAAGGTCTTAGCTACCAAACAACCACAATATTTGCATAATGAGTTAACACGATGTAGTGACATAAATCAACTGAGTACAAGGAGTAGAAATATGTTAGTGATACCCTTACATTCTAAGGCTGTCTACAAAAAATCATCCAGCTACAATGCTATTAAATTATATAATGATCTGCCTGTTACATTCCAAAACTATACATTATTTAATTTTAAAAAGAGGCTTAAACTAAAACTACAAGTCGAGGTCTGATGTTGAATACAAAATGCTAGAAATATGGACTATTCTTGTAATTGTTCTGTTTTTTTTTTAATTATTGAGAATTGTGGATACAATGTTTTATTATATATTTTTTGGTTCTTTCGCCTGTTTTGTACTTTTACTGAGGTACGAAATAAAGCCCATTTATTATTATTATAATAATAAAACTCCTCTTAGATGCTCTAAGCAGAAGACCTGAAGTATATCTCTCCAAACATGTTGATCGACTTTCTCAGGAGGTCGGAGCTACTGGGGGAAATATAAATAGGTGTGAGCCACAATAGACCAAAGAGTCGCAGTCGAGGATCGTTACTGATGCACTCACAAGAAACCTAACCTAACCTAACCTAACTTAGGTGCTCCATAACATTTTGTGTGTCTTGCTCAACGCAATACAAATTTACATACTCAGGTACATAATGCACTTTGCTAGAAGGTGATCGTAACGTCCTGGTGTATAATTAGTATGAAATATGTTGGATAAACATGTCAGGCCAGCACTCAGCGTTTGTAAATATGAATGATTACCAGGTTGTTAACCCTCGTAGAGCAAACTGTCGCCCACTTATTTTGTATAACTGTAATGCCTCAAAGAGCTAGGATATTTATAGTAAGATGAATAGCTGTTCTACTAATACCGCCGTTTGTTATTCTCGTCTCATGTTTTGACAATTGCGGAGCACGAAACGCCTTTTACTATTTTGTGGGTGTGAAGTGCTCGTAAACCGGGGGAGACAGGCTGTCGGGGAATGTAGACGATGCATTTTTATCATACAGGGTGGTACAGACCAAGAAATACGTGCGCCATTCTATGTATTGAAAATACGAATAATAAATAGGTGCATTTACTTATTAAGTAAATTCTTTTAGTCAAATTTCTTCTGAAAGTAGTACAAACTAATCTGATGTACCTATTAAAGTCTACTTCAAGCGTTAAATCAATAAATCTTCAAAACTACTGAACTGAAGTACATTACTTTTATATCATTATAAAGGGAATTGAAAGACCTTTAAAATAAGGTATCACTCGAACCCCCTTTCCATTTAAGATTTTAGGGTTGGTGTCACCCCCGCTTAGGGGGCTGCATGTGCTAACGTGATTCTTTACCAAACTTGTGTCTCCCTCGAAAACAAAATCGACGGGTCTGAGCGTTTTTCCAAAAAAAAACTGAGCTGGCAGTAAATGCGTCTGTTTCGTTTTTGATGCGCCACCCTGTATACAGGTTGACTTTGAAGTTGAGTCATTAATTTTCAGATAATGATTGTAGAAGGAAGATAAACCAAAATATGTGTGTAAAAATAAAAATAAAAATAAAAAAAAATGTTATCTTATTTTATAAAGTATCCTCCCGACAAGTATTTCAGTGCGGACCTGTATTTGATCGTGCGGTCTTGGAGCACCGGCATGCTCTCCCCTGTGAGGTCTTAAGTCACCTGATTCAAATTCAAATTCAAATTCAAATTCAAAAACCAATATAACTTACAAATTAAAAACAACCTTCAGTACAATTTAAATAAAAAAAGCTTCAAAAATACATGAGCTTGTATGCTCTTGCTACCCTGAATAACCAAGATTGCAACAGATACTAATATCAGATCTAGAACCAGCAAGTAACGGTATATGAATTGTGAAAATTCTGTATACTTCCGTAAAGGGTAAATTTCTGGATCTTGTCGTCACAAATCCTAAATTACGTGTCTGCATAAACAAATCTAAAATTCATAACAATAGTACAGAAGCATACTAAAAACACTCAGAAGTACAAATAGAGTACATAAAATATGAATATCTGAAATATGATAATAGAGGGATATTTCGATTAAGGTCAAACTATGTTGTTTAAACAATAAAAATTTTGCGTAAAGGTTAAGCAGAGAAACAAGAGTACTACAATTTACTACAAAAGAATTTACTACAAAATAATAGACACCTAAGCTATAAGCTTCTGTGTGTCATACAATATGCAAATTCAATGCATGGCTAATGGTCATAAGGTATATTATGAGCAAATGTATATAAAAAAAAGAAATAAAAAAAAACATTAGATAGAAACGAAATTACTGAGTTGAGTCAAGCTACCGTCGATGCAAGCATGTCAAAGTTATTTAAGATGAACTTCTTAATTCTTTTTTTGAAACTATACTTCGAGAAGATTTTATATTCTAGGGGTAATTTATTATACAACCTAATACCATCAAACATTATGCATTTTTGGCAAACAGATTTATTCACTCTGGTAACTTATATTTATTTTAGTTCTTGTTTCATAAGCGTGGCTGGCTGGAACATTTTTTTGGGGGTGAACAAATTTTAGAGCAGCAAAAATATATAAACCCCTAACATTCAAAAGATCATTTTCAATGTAAACAAATCTGCAACTTGACCTACATGGGATACGAAAAATAGTCCTGACAATATAATTTTGCGTGGTTTGTAGTATTTTTAAAGTACTAGTGTATGCGGCTCCCCAAATACTTATCCCGTAAGTTAGTAGAGACCCCACAAACGAGTTATATATTGAGAGAATACTCTTTCTGCTTAAAATATTCCTAAGAATGAAAAACTTATGAATAATTCTCCTTAATTTCGATGCCAAAAGCTCGGCATGACTCTGCCATTTTAAATTACTGTCAACAATGATTCACGAGCCCTTTGTACTACATTAACAAATGCACGAGGGGTTGGTTGCACTCGATTGGGAAACCGATCCGCATAAAGACTCCCCCCCCCCCGTAAATAAGAATCATGTCCACAAGTTCAGCATTTTCGTAAACATGTGCATTTTTTATTTCGTTTAAGCCACGCAACAAACACCACTATTCACTCACGCGTTACCGACTGACACATTGACGGAAAACAACTGAATAAAATTGTACATTGTAGTAAAAACATCGTTTCAAATTCTTTCGCTTTTTTGTTTCCTATGCGATGAACGGATAACGCGGATTATATCCGTTGTTGCCAAACACGAGCATTTAATATTATTATTGAGACAGGGCGGTACTCAAACTTCTAAAGGGCTATAACTTTGTTACTTTAATTTTACTAGAAAAATGTTAAAGGAAAAAAGCATTTCCTTTGATCATATCTACTCACTGTTAAAATAAATGACTCAACTTCGAAGTCACACACACACACACGAGAATTCTCAGCAAGATACAAAGATGTGAATAATGAAAGTTTCTATCAGGGGAGAGCATCTATTGCTTCTGTTGCTCCAATGCCTTGTATTTACAAAGTATTTATATTAAGAAAGATTTTAATATTAAAATGAAAATTTTCTTTTGGTAAATCGTGTAATTGCTTCGCTTAGGGCCTCCAAAGATTAGCCTGGGGACGACTTATAGGTTTTACGAATAACTTATTTTCATAAAGCTATCACATGCTTCGCGGATAAAAAGCGACCCCCCCTTGCTCTTCAAACCAAACGTACCCCTTCCCAGCGCGTGACATTTTGAGGGATTTCTGTTTTTGCTCTGGAAAACTCTGGCAACGCTGTCATAGATTATTCTTCCGGGCACTCATCAACAAATTTGCCTTGACAAATTATTCACAGAAAAATAATTTCCCTGTCTCTTTGTTCCAGGATTAGAGAGCACGTCGACAATCAGTTCACCACGTCACCATGACCACCTCGCACAAATTCCTGCTGCTACTCCTGCGGATAGCCATCCTGCTGCCGTCCTTCCTGCACGCCGAGGTGATTCGGGAGCAGAAATTCGCCATGGAACCGCAAGATCAAACCGCCGTGGTGGGCAGCAGGGTCACTTTACCCTGCAGGGTGATAGGAAAGAGTGGCATCTTGCAATGGACCAAGGACGATTTTGGACTAGGCACGCATCGGAACCTTAGCGGGTTCGAACGGTATACTATGATTGGGAGTGATGAAGAAGGTAAGTCGATTTTTAGACGTCACCTGGCGTTAGAGATCGCAATTCGACATAATGAATTGCAATCTGACAGTTGAAGTGGCAGATTAGAGTACGGAAAGCTACTTTTTTGTCTCATATTTTCGTTCAAGTCAAATCCAGAATTCGTTTCCTCTTGTGTTGGTAAATTTTCCTCGTACTCCCATTCAGGCATAAAAACACTTATAATAACTTTGCCGCTACATTCAAATCCCGCTTTTCAAAACCGTTCTCCCTTTCATCTAGCTTTTCGATTCAGCTATACGTTGATCGCTATCAAATAAATCAATTTTTTCATCTGTAATGGAACGTACGGCACAGCCACAGTCCCCTTACCTCCCCTCACCTGCCTCACCCTCTCTTTATTCTCTAAAAAACGTCCGCGTTTGCTACTTCTGCGATTTCTGAAGATTGACATTTTTTGTTCCACGGGAACTGATTTCCTCTGGTAGCCCGGTACATCTCACGCCGCAAAGCTGGAGCGTGAAAGCTTTTCAGATTTTCGCATCACCTGTCGGAAAAAAATCTCTTCAGCCTATTGATCTTTGTGGTGTATTCAGCTCGAGGCAACAAATAGGGTGAGTTTTTGGTGAGGTTTAATACAAAAATTGACACAATCAGTATGCTCCTAATTTGAAAGATGTTCCTACAGGGTGTTTCAGAACTATGGGATCAAACTTGTAGTAGTTATTCCGTGTAACAGTAGTAGTATAGGGACCCATATCCGCTGTATATGGAGGAAGACATTTTGAACAATTGTTGCGATGATATCATGTACAAAAGGTAAACATTAAATGCATTAAATCCTATTTAGGCAATTCATCGTCTTGCTGAATTTTAACGCGTCTTAGGGCCGTAGTGCCCTAGTGACACTTTTCCGTATATATGGGTCCCTATACTCGAATGTTTTCTACTGTTACACTGAATAACCCCTAGAAGTTTGATCGCTTAGTACTCTTAAAAACGGGAAAAAACACGTTTTTTTTTTTCGTTTTTTCCAGACCATGGGAAAAATTGGAAAAGTGGGAAAATTTAAATATTTTTTAATTGACCAAATTCTTGTAATTTAATGAGTATACAGATAATAATTATTATTACTGAATCTTGATATTAGTAATAAAGAAAAGTAAGGAAAATATGCAAGGAAACTGAAATCCCACCTTCAAAACACTTAAAGCTATTCCAAATTTAATAAAATATTCACTTACCAGAAACCAAAACAAACACTTGGGTCAACAACACCAACAATCTTGAGAACAAACACACTCAATTATTACAGCAAAATTTCACTTTGTATTATTCATTTAGTGTGCTTATGATAAGGCTAAATTTAAATGCGTGCTTTAAAATAAACAAGACGTGTCAATATTGAAGAATCTCATTCTCAACTGAACAATTCAGGAAAAAAGTTTTTTTTCCGGCACCCAATTTTTCCGGAAATTTTAAATCTCTAGTCTTGACCCATACATGTTTTACATTTTTTCACATTTACTTCACGTATGAAGCAATTTAATCTAGTTTGAGATTTTGTGATGAAAAACACTTAATTTTGACAAGTCGCTCCTCGGCAACTGTTATAGGTGGAGTACCGGATTTCATTATATGACTTTATAATATTTTATATCTATCTACTTGATTCTTCATTTGCTTTGATAGGTTATTCAGGGTGGTCGAGAAGACAAAACGAGCTGTTTCTAAATATTTCCACTAAATTTTTAGATGGGTTTATGAGGGTTTGTACGACTAGTTTTTGAATTACTTATGACACAGGGACACCTCATGGACTTTTAACTTCATTGCACAAAGCTGGGTACATTTAATTTGTGATAAATATAAAGAAATTCTAACGATCTGCCGTTATCAAGTAATGCTATTTTTTGTTTTGGTATCGTAGTATTTTTTTTATTTACCTTGCTATCTGAGTTACAAGAGGGTTGGTTGTAACACTAAAACTATTCATACAAACTCCTATAAACCATATATTAAAAAAGCTTATGGAAATGGGAATCAAGAAACGTAAAAGATACACAGTGTTCTGTATATGAAACTCGAGAAATCATTCAATTTGCATCTTTCACCACCCCGTACGAGCGGTCCAAAAAAGTGAAAAAGAACGTAGATATTAACAAGACATGGGACCATAAAATTTTTCTGACAAAAACTTCAGTTGTCAAAGTTGAATGGTTTTTTTTTGATAGGATGTCTAATATCTTAATAATTTGTGAATAAGGCCCGATAGTATATTACATCAAACTGCTTCGTTTGAAAGGACCTATCCAAATATGCAATAAAATGTAAGGCTTTTATTTAAAAAAAGTATATGTGAGTTATGGGGTACTTATTACCATATAAGTAAAGATATTTTTCTCGTAAGGAGCACACTATTGGCTACAATTTTTGCGGTTAACTTATTCAGTCGAATCGCATAAAGTTTTTTTCAACAGCTGCAGACACCTTAAACTGCCTATCTTAATTTTGTGGAAAGTAAGTAAAGTTTTCAGGCGTAATAGTAATATCAAGAATGACGTGAAGCCGGTTGATTGATTGATTCTTATGCTTTCCTTCAAATGCGGAAACAGAGAATCTGGACTGGGGACGGCGTATAATACCTGTATATAAGATATATGTATAACATAAATCAACTAAATGTCTGTTTAGATGGCAAATATACCATGGATAATATGTGTAATATTAGCTTTTCTCAATACCAGAACGTCTTTCATCAAAGGTACAACAGTCACAATCTACGACTACAAACCCGAAATATTTAAACGAAAAAATTTCATAGATTCGATGAACAAGAAATTCGAGGTTGGTCGTTTTTTATTTTACTGGACTATAGAGCTGTGATCTGTTTAAAGAACTTTTGTGCCTGTATTTACGCAGAGCCGTTCAAAAGGATCCTTCGTGAAAAAAGGTTATTCAAAGACCGAATCATAAAACTTTCTCAAGCGGATGCGAAGACACTTCCTGGGCTATTGAATCTCCAGACCCAACCAACCAGTAACCGCTTGGTCTACATAGCGAGTCTTTTTCCTGTTGTCGTTGCTGTTGTTTTCGTTATCTTGCCACCGCAGAACGTCTAAACTGTCAACATTCCTTCGCGTTGCGAATTTGCTACGAGATCCCCATCTATGCCCTAGTCCCTTAAGATTAGATTTTCCGCAGCCAGGTGCTAACAAAATTTATTCCGCGAAGTTATTCCGGGTCAAGGTGAATAAGGGCGACATCGACCCGCCCCCGCTCCATAATCTACAATCTATGTAGCACACTTACTTCCAGTATATGAATATATTTTCTCAGTTGCTGCAATATACACCCCTCCACGGCCTTGGAAAGCTCGTAAAGTTTACAGATATCGCGCCATATCTCATTAATATGAAAGCAGATGGGAGAAACGGGATAGACAGGACTATTGCTCATAGGTCAGGAATATTCTATGAGCTAAGAAGCAAAGCACTCGATCAGAGTAACAATTACAATCTCTTCTGTTATTGTTCTGCTTTGTTGCCAACACGCGCACATATGAGCATTTTAATGATTAAGATGTATGCTATCTATCTACCTGACAAAAATTTAAAAAACAAAAAAAGTATTGAAAATGAACGGAAGGTGCCTATCCTAAAGTTGATACCTTGAACAATAGGTTGGCCATGGAATCAGAACTTCGCTTACACTACCTTTATTTATTTATTTATGTATTTATAGCTTTTACTGCCCATTTATAGGCCAAAATCTTAAATTAGAAATATTACAAAATCCTAACTTATAAAACTATCGAAGGCGCTCCCGCAAAACACATTTCAGCTCCGAAATGGAACATAAGAATATGTCACAAAACTTACAAATACTGTTATAATTCAAACACATAACCCTTTCAGGTGATTTCAAAATCAAATATGTGTTAGCGCGACTGCAAAGGAAATTTACATTACATCTTGAAACGGATCTTGGCGTTAAAAACTGTAGTTGTGATAACAAAATTCCGAAGAAACTATAGTGCAAGAATTTAAACAAAAAAATAACAGAATTGTCCTTCCTTCTCACATTCAAAGACATCATTTTAAATATGTCTAACAGAATTTGATAGTCTGACCCACGTTGAGAGTAGACTCTATTGCACTTAAAAGCTAGATATTCAAGTAACTTTTTTTGAACATAATCTATCCTATTTATACAGGGTGACTTCGAAGTTGAGTCATTTATTTTAGCAGTAGATCTGATCAAAAGAAATGTTTTTTCCTTTATCATTTTTCTGGTAAAATTAAAGTAACAAAGTTATAGCCCTTTGGAAGTTTGAGTACCGCCCTGTCTCAATAATAATATCATGTGCTCGTGTTTGGCAACAACGGATATAATCCACCTTATCGGTTCATCGCATCGGAAACAAAAAAGCGAAAGAATTTGGAACGATGTTTTTACAATTATTTCATTCATTTGTATACAGTCAGTGTCAGTGAATAGTGGTATCTGTTGCGTGGCTCAAACGAAATAAAAAATGGCACATGTTTATGCGGATCGGTTTCCCAATCGAGTGCAACCAACCCCTCGTGCCTTAGTTAATGTAGTACAAAGGGCTCGTGAATCAGGTGACTTAAGACCTCACAGGGGACCTCACGATCAAATACAGGTCCGGACTGAAATTCTTGTCGGGAGGATACTTTATAAAACAAGGTGATTTTTTTTTTATTTTTACACACATATTTTGGTTTATCTTCCTTCTACAATCATTATCTGAAAATTAATGACTCAACTTCAAAGTCACCCTGTATAACAGTTATAGGGGGATTCCATATTAGGGATGCTTACCCTAACTTGGATCTTATATAAGCATAATACAAGGTTTTTAATGCTGTCAAATCATTGATTAGCTTACAGTTTCTGATGAGAAAACCTAGGGCCCTATTAGCATTATTCACAGTATTATCTATATGACAGTGAAAGCTAAACCTAGTGTCAAACATAACACCCAAATCACGAACAGT